TCTTGCCAATTACTACTCCCATTATAATTCTGTTCATTACATGTTGCCCAAAGAACACATTAATATGCAAATTAGATACAATGTATAGATACATTGTATAAAATGGGAAAACCTGCATATGGCTATTTTACTTGCATAAAGTAAAATGGTATATCAAATCATTCTGTTATATATTTCATAGTTGAGAATCATCTTTATACAAAGTTTGGTATATAAAATCCAGAAACCTAAAAATTGAAAAAAATAGCATTGTTTTTGCCTATTGTCTATTCATGTCTTTTTATAAAAAAATTTTTTTAAAAATTGAGTCCTGGTGTCCTCTATAGAGGACATAGCATAACATATGAATAAAATATAATTTTTACATTTTTTCTTATGCTCTAAACAATGTAATGACACAAAAAAAAATACTAAATTCACAAAACTTTTTTGTTCTGGGTCTCAGGAAAATATCACCTAAACCAATTTATGACATCAATATATCCTAACTTCTAGACTGCCTAATTGTTGAGAAATAAAGCTATAAATAATGGCAGACACCTAAATAAAAAATAATGCATTTGATTGGATCTGGCCTTGACAGATGAAAGAAAAATTTTATTTGCTGCGAAAAATATGTCCTTTTATAATCCTATCTTTTTTATCACAAAGAGGGTAGATTAATGGATAATGCGATTGCTTGTGTAATAAAAGCCTCTCTCCACTCGGGGACTGGAGATTTAGAACCGGAGTGTGATAGCGTGACTTCTCTAACCTTGATGTTGGATGCACCGATCACGTACGACAAACTTTACTCGTGTGTTATGGCTTGCAGAGAATTATAGGTCAATTTAGGCTCGGTCAGTGAGACGACACTCGTCAACAACCGCTGTTCCACCATCCTTCCTGCTTTAGAAGTTGACCTTTGCTATTTTTCTCGCAAGGAGAGCAAGACTCTATATCGCAATGATGTGTGCTCGTAGTGTGGTCAGTCCTCATGTTGTGTTGGATGGGCACTCATGTGAAGTGATGCTTGCAGGGCCCATCCTGTGACTCTGGGGCATATGGACTCAACTGCACATTTCCCTGGGGCATTATTGCCATGCTGATTTACTACCAGTGAAGGACAATCATCAGAGACCAAATTATACCCCATTATACGCTGTGAGTGTTTGTTCACGGTCTTTAGGTTAAAGCAATGAAGTTTGAAAACTTCTATAGACAATCAATTACCTTACAATTAGTTTTACGGTTTTAGCTATTCCATATTTTTTATCTTGCTTTAAAATATACACATTCTGTTACATGCAAAGACTATGCGTGGTCATAGTTGTCATAGCGTTTGATATATTGCACCGTATTTAGGATTCTTGTTGTTTGGAAGCGAGAACCACTCATCTTTAACATTAAAGGTAATAGATCTCCAGGGTGAGATTTTTATCGACATTTCTCATTACCAACCTAATGGTGTTTATGGCGTCGGTCATAAACGGCTCCCTGTGGTGCTGTGTTTTATGAAGAGATCAGCTGTCGGGGCATATGCGTTCAAATCTCTGCAGGATGCAATGACACAGGTCAGGTTTAAATGACCTGAGAGAGGAAAAAAGAGAAAGAGAGTACTTCACTATAGGGGAAACTGGGGCTAGTTGTCACAATGATTATGTCTCAGTAAATGTAAGAGGTAAAAATAAAGTGAAGATGATAAAGCCATGCAAAAACAGGCAATAAGTGGGTAGGTTTCAATCAAAAGGTTGTGTTCTCAGAACAAGGGGATTTAAATATATATATATATATATATATATATATATATATATATATATATATATATATATATATATATATATATATATATTAGGTTGGGTAAGTTGTCACATGTGTTTAATATATTGTCATTTTATTAACCCTCTAGTGTTGTGCAGTCATTTTTTTACAAAAAAAAAAAAAAAAAAAAACTTAATTGGAATGAAACTCCTGACTTTGGTGGCAGTCGCTATGTGACCAAAAAAACAGTGGACTTCATTCGAAAAAACTAAATGGTCGTCACGCTTGTGTTGTTCACGATCAGAAATGACCAGCATGAATGGGAAATATGAAATCTACAATCTACAAATCACCTACGATGCAGAAAAAAAACTCACCGCTGTCAAGGGGTGAAATGCTAAAATATCAAGATTGCAAAGTGTGTAACAGTAACAGAAAGCAAGTTTTTGCAAATATCTGAAATAACAAATAATTCAGCCACAATGCAGTAAAAAAAAAGGACAGCAAGGAAGAGGTTATACATTCTAAAACATTAAGGCCTGGTTTTACAGACAGGGCTTAGATTAAGCCAAGATTAGACCTTAATACAATTAGGACATTCAAGCAGCTTTAAAAAACATGCCTTAGAATAAAGCATTACTGGTGTGAATTTTGAGACAAAACAATGGCACTTACATTTTAAGATATGTCAGTGCAAGTTGCTTTCAGTTAAAACAACTCAAACATGCATTTTAGTCTGGGACTATAGGTTTAAGCCTTGTCTGCGACACCTGGGGCAAGAGTACAAAACAGACACACACACTCACTTACACACACAACACATACAACACGTATTATACACACATAAATTAACTGGTACGGCTGTATAACAATATGGCAAAATTGAGCCTGGAGACTCAAATAAGTTGTTAAAATCAGATCAGACCCAGATTGATTAAGCTCTGATAAGAAAAAAAACACATTTGTTACATTTGTATTGAATTTGTTATCCTATGTTATCCTATTCAAAGTGTCTTTCTCCGTGTTCAGACTTGACTATAGTAGGGTGACCATATTTTGATTATCGAAAACCAGGACACTCGGCATAATTTAGTTTTCTTCTTCCTCTTTATCCTGTTTTTCTTTCTTAATGGCCCAATGAAAAATAATGAAAACCAGGACATTTTCATCACTTTATAAAAAACAGCCAGGACGGCCAGGACAGCACGTGAAAACAGGACATGTCCTGGGAAAACAGGACGTTTGGTCACCCTAGAGCAGGGGTAGGCAAGTTCGGTCCTAGAGAGCCGCTGTCCTGCAGAATTTAGTTCCAACCCTTATCAAACACACCTGAACAAGCTAATCAATGTCTTCAGGATTACTAAGGCTATAGGCAGGAGAGGTTTTTTTCAGTGTTGGAGCCAAACTCTGCAGGACAGCGGCTCTCTAGGACCGAACTTGCCTACCCCTGCCCTAGAGTATAGTAAAAGTAATCGAAAAACTGACACTTCAAATCACCATTTCAAACAAAAGAATATCTAAACCTTGACAAAAAGTTGTCTTGTCTAAATAAATATCCAAATCCGCAACCTAATAAAAGTAGGTTTTATGTCTAAAAACTAATATAGAATTTACAAGCCTCTTAATATAGCCCTATATACCGTATATATATTTATATGCACTATATATATATATATATATATATATATATATATATATTGTAAAGGAATCATACACCAACATACACCACGACATTACAGATGTTGGTCTTTTTTTACTCCAACCAGGTGACACTAATCTGCCTTCAAAAATTGGATTTTAAAGGCATTGTCTCTATTTGAACATGAAATACAGCTTTAATTGGAAAAAAAATATCCTATTATTTTCAATGGGAAAAAAAGATCAATTATTGCATTTATATTAATTAGTAACATAAAATGCTCTCAAAAGTATAATATATTGAACAAAAATATACAGTGATTTTACTGACATAAAATATTTCATATTTCAATAAAAGGCATCAGTCTTGAATCAGTCAATGAACAGCAAACTGTGACAACTTACCCAACATGCCCAACTTATCAAGATCCTCAGACAAATAATTACACAACTGTCTGTGTTAGTCCTCACTAATAAAAAGAGGTTCATTAAGCACCAATTAACATGTTAATTAAAATGGCAAAAAGGTGTGGGGAAGCTGCTGTAACTGAAATTCATCTTTTAGTGTACTTGTCACTTGTTAAGAAATGGTACGGTGACAATTACATTTAAGTTAACATTAGTTAATGTATTAACTAACATGAACTAACCATGGGCAATACATTTGTTGCTATATTTGTTAATGGTTGTTAACGTTAGTTAATAAAAATACAGCTGTTCATTGTTTGTTCATTGTTAATTCACAGTGCATTAACTAATGTTAACAAGATTTTAATAAAGTATTAGTAAATGTTGAAATTAACATTAACAAAGATTAGGCTAATAAATGCTGTATAAGTGCAGTTCATTATTAGTTCAAGCTAACTAATGTTGCTAACTAATGTTAACTAACGAACCTTATTGTAAAGTGTTACCAATGGTACTTCCAGGGCAATTTCTTGCTCAAATTGCTTACTAATCTAATAAATGAAAGGTCTTAGCCACCTCTGTAGCAAACAGGTCACAGAATGGTAATTTAAACATGAGCTATGAAATGTAAATACCTGCCAACAATACGTGTTTATACAGCATATACCTCAAAATATTACGCTCAATGACAAACAAATAAGACTTTCAGGAAGTTGAAACTTACTTTAGACCTAGTTAAATTAAGTTTACTGGGCCCTTGAACATATTAGAGTTTATTTGTCAGATCTGTTTCTCAAACGTTTTTTTCTTTTATTGCACTGTTACATAAGCATAATATGCTGATAGCTGCTAGTGATACTTATATCAAAATATAAACTACATTTACAATTCATGTCACCTTCTCGATGTTGTGGTAGACTGGTTGTTGCTAAGCGGTTGCCAGGGTGTTCAGGGTGGCTAATTACTGCCTCGAGTAAAAAAAAAGCGGTTTGTTCAAAATAACTAACCCTAATATGAGAAGTAGTAACAATGATACATGCCTTAGTAAACAACAATGAAGAGTCCATATCACTTCACAGACCACATTTCCAGCCATTGATCAGCCAATCAGCGCTCATTCCACATTCACCGCTGAGAAAAGCACACACACAGTAAAACACCGCGAGATCTTCGAGGCGAGGGGAGAGAGATTCAGAGAGAGGAACCGTAACCGTTAAGACCGGCGACTGCTGCGAGCCAGAACCCGATTCTTTCTCCACGAATCCGCTGAACAAAGCGAAGGGTTCCATGCTCTTGAGATTGCACAGAAACATCACAGGTAAATGAAATCTCCCTCTAATGAAATTAGAACACAGCGCGCGGGTTTACATGGGCTGCGAATAAGAGGCGGGGTGACGTCATCGCTGCTGCTGCAGCTTTATTTCAGTCCGTAAATGTTTTAACGTTTTCATGATGCGTTACACTATTAATGATACAGTGCTGGGTGAAAGTGAACTAGCATGGGTTCTACTTTATTAGACCGAGCATTATACGGCACACAATAGCTACTGTAGGTTTGTGTGTGGGCATAGGTGATGTTCTGTTCTATTCATTATTTTAATATTCATAAATATATGAAATAATTGGTTTGGTCTACTCTGTTTATCGTCATTTGATTCTATTATTTGAATTTTGCCTTCTTAATATTAATTTGTTTTGTCTGCAGCTTGGTGGAGGTATGACATTAACCAGGGGCTCCTTCACTTATTCAAGTGGAGAAGAATATACCGGAGAATGGAAGGAAGGCAAGCATTTTCTTACACTTTGCATTACTTTTGAATTCTCAGGACATTTTTTTTTTTCATAAATGGGGCAGGTCGTCACGTGTTTCTAATGTTGTACTTTTATTCAATACTTAATTTTCTATTTGGCAAAAGAACAATTACATTTTTGTATGTTCCATTTGTGCTGTTTCATAATTTATTCATAATTACATAATAATAAAGGCTATATTCAAAATGAATAGGTTATGTATTATGGAATTATTTTGGATTATTCGTATGTGGGTCATCTCTGTGAGATATGAACACGATTCTATATCTAAATATTCTATTCTTAACAGTATTGACAACTCTTACATTATTCTATTGTCAGCTACCGACTGACTTAAAATGATGGAAATTGTCTTTAGTTTTTTATATATAATTTTTGGTGTTGGATGACATACTATAATTGCTACAGAAAATGTAAGCATGATTGATTTTAGTTGTACTGTATATCTGACAGTGCTGACAAGGGACACTGATGTGAAACCTTATTCAAAAAAAGGTTTATTTCTGTCATAACATGTAGAAATGGTGGTGCTCCATATAATTAGTATATTGGATGAAAACTCAGTGTTAAGGTATGAAGGAATGTGTTTTCTATTCAGGTCGGAGGCACGGTAAGGGCGAGCTGAAGTTTGCCGATGGCACCTGTTATAAAGGTCACTTTGAGAATGGCCTGTTCCACGGATCAGGGGTGTTAGTCTTTCCCGATGGATCCAGGTGAGTGACCGTGTGATCAGATTAATTTTGATGCGTACATACTTAAACGGAGATGAACACATTGCCGGTGATACTGCAAGACTAGTTACATGGAAAACAACACCGTTTCTTGACAACAGGTACGAGGGAGAATTTGCCCAGGGAAAATTCCAAGGCGTCGGAATCTTCAGCAGGTTTGACGGGATGAAATTTGAAGGGGAATTCAAAAGTGGCCGTGTAGAAGGACATGGTAAATATTCCACTTTAATTTTAAAATAGCTGCTTTTACAATAGGAAGGCTGAGCTTGATCTGAATGAAATTCCTATTGGCGGGATAGTGGTGTAGACCTGAAATAATCCAATCAAACGGGAAAAAATGAAGCAAGTAAATGCTTGAATCAGACCTTTTTTCTCAATCGGATTCAACATTTTCTTGCACACATGCGCAGTGCATGATCCGTTCAGGTTTTAAGGGGTGAAACAATATATTGCGTCACAATATATCGCAATACAAAAATGCAACAATATGTATCGTGGATAGTGACAATCTGTATTGTGTATATTTCATCCAAAATAAAAATTACTGTGTGAAAAAAAAATGTAAGTTTACAGAGTTTTAGTGTCATTACTACATTAAACTACTAATGTATAATAATGCAATGGGGAAATATGTGTGGGTCCAAATAAAGCCAAATATCTTATGTTATCAGTAAAAAGTGGCCTACATTATTTTAAACATATCTAGTCAGTGACAGAGTGCAAGCATATCCGTTACTTGCTTACATCATATTTTCAGCCCCAGAATCATGAATATTTTTAGTCTGGTGTCACCATTGTCCAGCACCAAGTCCAAGCCTATTCATTTACACCCACAATGTAATACCAAATGTAGCATTTTAATCAACAGTACATTCTTTGTTAACCTTTTACCAGATGTATTGGAGTATCGCAATAATATCGTATCGTGACGTGATATTTATCGTATCGTGACATGAGGGGTATCGTTACACCCCTAGTAGGTTTACAGTCATTTTACAGCTTTCGGACGTGCCTGTGTTTCTTTAGATATATAGCATGGATAAATGTGATCTTATTTCCTTCGCATAGGACTGCTGACTTTCCCAGACGGCTCCCATGGTGCTCCGCGGAACGAGGGAGTGTTTGAGAACAACAAGCTTCTGAAACGTGAAAAGTGTCAGGCTGTGGTGCAGAGAGCCAAGAACTCAGCATCCACTGCCCGCAGCCTCTCTGTATGACAAACTGACCTCAGTGAGAGCACCCCCTAACTCAGGCCACCCCCGAGTACATTACGGACTGTACAGTCACTAGTAAAACGAGCAAATCTGATTGTGGATCTGCGTTCAGGGGTGATCTCTGCCTTCACCACACAACGGAGCTCAAACCCTCAGGGACGGATGAAAGTGTTTCCATTCCTCACGTCTCTATTTCACTCACATTGTTGCTCTGCCTTGGTTTCCTCTGTGGCTTAAAACATCGCAAAATGATGGACGTTTGTTATGGAGGCACGGATAAACTCGAGTCACCATCAGAGGCTCTGCAGGTACGGAAATGTGGTCAATGTGGTAAATGAACTCAATTTGCCTTTGTCAGTCTGCTTCTGCGATTGTATCACTTACAGTATGTTTGACTTTATCTTTACTATTGTAGCTGTTTGTGTTACAAATCAATATTGTCTTTATTGCACATTTGCCTTAGTTATTGCATTAAATGTCAGTATTGCTGGATTCAAATCTTTCTTGTTACCGATGTGCAACAGTGGTGAGGGAAAGGTTTCAGCTACTTGTCCTCATTTTTTTTTTTTTTTTTTTTTTTTAAATGACTACATATGATTTACTAACACATTATATATTGTGAAATAATGGTTTTAGTTGTACTGCTCATGTACATCACAGAAAACTATTTGAAATTATTTCAAATGTATTGGGCAGATTCACTTTAAATGTTTGATGACTGATTTAGGTGTTTACACTTTATTTTCCGAACTGACTGCTAATGGTTCACTGTTCCCATCATCTGCAGTGTCAGACAGAAGCCTTAGTCACTGTCATCTAAAATATACTGACACCAAAAAGAATTTTGCACTGTTATTTATTTATTTGAGCAGAGAATCAAGACTGACATGAAAAATAAAGTGAAATAAAAGTCCGAAAAGAGTCACCTAATCTACATTCTGCTGCATATTTTTTGTCATGCTTATTCTGCCATAGTATATTCAAATCTTATAAAGGACAATCATGTATATGAGACTGTTACATAAACGACTGTTCAAAAGTTTCTGAAAGAAGTCTCTTAATATGTTCACCAAAGCTGCATTTAGTTCATGCAGTACAAAATACAAATGGTAATATTCGGAAATTTCCATTTTAATATACTTTAAAATGTCATTTATTACAGCTACATTTTCAGCAGCCATTACTCCGGTCTTCAGTGTCACATGATCCTTCAGAATTCATTAGGTGTGTTCGACTTCATGTGGCGCTGTGCTGACCAAGCGAAGTATGACAAAGAACCGCGTGAGCGATTTGAAAGCATACGTAACCCTTTATATTTAAACATGTTGCCTGTTATTCCATGTCTCAAGATTAAGTTAACAGTATTTACAGGACACAGAATGTCACAGAGCACTTATCCAGTGCTTCAAGCGCTAACTGAAATCACTGCAGTGTGTGACTAAAAGCTTTCTAATCATAGAACAACTGAGCGTTTTAAACATGATTCACAGGCACACTGTGTTGTTTCTATCAGCGAGGGTGCCAGTGACACACAGGGAAACCCTTGACAACAGGCTAAGAGATCAGTTTGGGAACTGGATGAGCCAGCCCATGAATTACATCTCTAATACAGCAGCAAAACACACACTGAATAACTAACTACAAAGCAAAAAGACCTGGACTGTTGATTCATAAACAATCATATATTAATCAAAATTTAAATGTTTGCTTTTAGGCTTTGCCTGTCGAATTGTCATTATATAATAAAGCACAGATGACGTATGTGCCATATCAGCTTCCTCCATCCGAAGCTGTGTCATCTGATGTATCAGGAAACTGCACAGCAATGAACATGTACTGGCGTTAAATATGTTTCATATGAAACTTAAGTTATGCAAAAGTCAAATAACATGTTGCGCATGCATTTCTCATTTCAGAAACTATCATTCAAATTGTCCATACAACAATTATATATAGTTCAACCATCCTGGCATTTACAATATAATCATCAAGCATTTCTTAAACACACAATCTTAAGTTACATGTTCACCTGAGTAATGCATACACACACATATATATATATATATATATATATATATATTATATATATACATATATATATATATACACTCACCGGCCACTTTATTAGGTACACCTGTCCAACTGCTCGTTAACACTTAATTTCTAAGCAGCCAATCACATGGCGGCAACTCAGTGCATTTAGGCATGTAGACATGGTCAAGACAATCTCCTGCAGTTCAAACCGAGCATCAGTATGGGGAAGAAAGGTGATTTGAGTGACTTTGAACGTGGCATGATTGTTGGTGCCAGAAGGGCTGGTCTGAGTATTTCAGAAACTGCTAATCTACTGGGATTTTCACGCACAACCATCTCTAGGGTTTACAGAGAATGGTCCGAAAAAGAAAAAACATCCAGTGAGCGGCAGTTCTGTGGGCGGAAATGCCTTGTTGATGCCAGAGGTCAGAGGAGAATGGCCAGACTGGTTCGAGCTGATAGAAGGGCAACAGTGACTGAAATAACCACTCGTTACATCCGAGGTATGCAGCAAAGCATTTGTGAAGCCACAACACGCACAACCTTGAGGCGGATGGGCTACAACAGCAGAAGACTCCACCGGGTACCACTCATCTCCACTACAAATAGGAAAAAGAGGCTACAATTTGCAAGAGCTCACCAAAATTGAACAGTTGAAGACTGGAAAAATGTTGCCTGGTCTGATGAGTCTCGATTTCTGTTGAGACATTCAGATGTTAGAGTCAGAATTTGGCGTAAACAGAATGAGAACATGGAACCATCATGCCTTGTTACCACTGTGCAGGCTGGTGGTGGTGGTGTAATGGTGTGGGGGATGTTTTCCTGGCACACTTTAGGCCCCTCAGTGCCAATTGGGCATCGTTTAAATGCCACGGCCTACCTGAGCATTGTTTCTGACCATGTCCATCCCTTTATGGCCACCATGTACCCATCCTCTGATGGCTACTTCCACCATGTCACAAAGCTCTAATCATTTCAAATTGGTTTCTTGAACATGACAATGAGTTCACTGTACTAAAATGGCCTCCACAGTCACCAGATCTCAACCCAATAGAGCATCTTTGGGATGTGGTGGAACGGGAGATTCGCATCATGGATGTGCAGCCGACAAATCTGCGGCAACTGTGTGATGCCATCATGTCAATATGGACCAAACTCCCTGAGGAATGCTTCCAGCACCTTGTTGAATCTATGCCACGAAGAATTGAGGCAGTTCTGAAGGCAAAAGGGGGTCCAACCCGTTACTAGCATGGGGTACCTAATAAAGTGGCCGGTGAGTGTATATATATATAGTGCTGTCAAATCGAGATTAATCGCATCTACACACACACACACATGCATACATACAGTATACATATACAATATATATATATAAGCTTTTGTTAGATGCGATTAATTGCGAATTAGTGATTTGATCTAATTCGCAGTGATTTGATCATCTATTTGATCAAGGTAATGCGATGCCTTTTAAAATAAAAATAATTATAAGCCTCATTTTCTTTATATAAATGAATACAATAAAGTACTTATTCATTCAGTTTCTGGTCCCCATTGACTTCCATAGTAGGAAAAAAATACTATGGAAGTCAATGGTGCCCCACAACTGTTTGGTTATCGACAATCTTCAAAATATCTTCTTTTGTGCTCAACAGAAGGAGGAAATTCATACAGGTTTGGAGCAACATGAGGGTGAGAAAATAATGACAGAATGTTCTTTTTCAATTTTTGGGAGAACTATACGGAGCCCCTAAAGGGACCTTTGCAAAAAATAAAAAAATAAAGAGTATCGCGTGCGCACGCGATAGTTTCTCGTGCGCACGTGATACTTTCACGTGCGCACGCAATACGCTTCTCGTGCGCACGCATTACAATTTCCGGTTTGCGTACAATTTGCGTCACTGTCATTACTATGAGGAAAACAAGAGCATGGATGTCAAAGTTTAAACTTCTCTAGATTAAAAAAGACCAAAGTGTTATAAAACTGTTGGTTACAACGTGACCAATAAATCCTTATTTTTTAAGGAATTGGTTTAACAGGGATATTAATCATCTTATGAATCAGGTTTGATAATTATGGAAATATTTTAACATACGATTACGAACAATGTATGCAAATCCATAATTTTCCTGCGCATTTTAAACAATTTAATTAAAGCTATTTCCCCTACTCTGATTCATCTTATCAAAAGTCATATTCAATTTAACTCACATTAATGATAAATCCAAAATAAATGGCATTTAATTGATTGACAAAAAATGCTATAATAAACATATTTGTACAATATTTCAAATACAAAATAAAATAGCACCTAGAGGAATTTTTTGGAACTCTATTATTGATCATATTAATTGGAAGACTGATTGGTTAATCCCCTTTAAATATTGCATTAATAATAAAACCAAAGAAATACATTTTAAAATGTTGCATACTATACATGTTAGAATTTTGATGATTATGGCTTACAGCTATGAAAACCTTTTCACAATATTCTAAATTTGAATTTGGGGTTTTCATAAGCTGTAAGCCATAATCATAAAAATTATAACAAATAAAGGCTTGAAATTTCTCACTTTGCATGTAATGAGTCTATAAAATATATTAGTTTCACTTTTTAAGTTGGGGATGAATTTAAATATTTTTGCTTATGGATATAAAATTTTGCCAACAATATAAATTAACAATGTATTCAAGACCGTTGTTAACATTGTTTTCATAATATACAATAATATCCTTTAAAGTAATAGTATTTAATTTTTACTAAATTAAAGATAAATTCTGCCAATTCCTTCCAGAAATTTTGGATAATTTTGCATTCAAAAAACAAATGAGTCAACACCTCTTTCCCACTTTTACAAAAGGAACATAAATCGTCAATATCAGAGTATCTTGCAATTTCTTTGGTTTTATTTATTATATATATATATATATATTTTTTTTTTCTTCTCATCCAGCATGCTCTTACAGCATTCTTGATCTGCATATCAGCTCCAGCCAGTATGTTTTACAATTTTATATCGATTTAATCTGACCGCATCATGTAGAGATGTGTCTCCTTCCTTTAAAAGAGAAATTAAATGTTTAAACTGACTTTTTTAATTTGCATGATCCATATCATTTTTGTGTTTTCCTCATGAATTATTCATCTGTTACCCAATCTTTGGCATTGATATTGATTCCACTGGCTATAAGATGTTGGACCACGTCGCTGTGACCGGTCCGTGTGGCCACATGTAAAGGTGAGCTAAGCAGCTGTATGGGAGGGGGTAATACGATTTGACCATATTATGCATACTTGCGACAGCTTATTTTGTTATACTGTACAGTATTTTTGTCTTCCAGTAAAACATTATTACTTTGTCTCTGGCGTTGATATCAGCTCCCCTGTCCTGAAGAACGTTCAGTGCTGAGAGACTTCCACCTCTGCAAGCGTATAGCCCTGCAATCCAGCTAAACCATGGACAACAAGAGCAAATCAACACTATCACAACACCATTGTAACAATGAATTGACTTAATAAACATCTAGAATGATCTCACCCTGTCTTTAAAGTTGATATCAGCTTCTTTGTCCAGCAATTTTTCCACTATTTTAGCATGATTTTCCAGAGCAGCCCGATGGAGTGCTGTTTTTCTGAACTAAGACAAACAGTCGTGTGAGCAACGGAGTCATCATAGAGTCAGAGAACTAAAACTAAAATCATAAAATAAAAATGTGTTACTTGCATCAAAATAAATGTTAACTGAAACATTTGTTTTAGCTAGTTGCCAATACAACATTTTGAAAAAGTTGCTCAGACTACTTTGACGTGTATATGGCGTGGGAGAGGTAGGGTGTCACAATGAGCGAGAAAGGTTGACATGGATCACGCTAAATCTCCAACCTCTGGGGAATCACCCGTTTTATAGTCAATAGTTGAGTGACATGTAGCCAAGTATAGTGTACCATACTTGGAATTTGTGCTCTGCATTTTATCCATCCAAGTGACACACACACACACACTGTGAACACACACCCGGAGCAGTGGGCAGGCATTTTTGCTGCGGCGCCAGGGGAGCGATTGGGGGTTAGGTGCCCTGCTCAAGGGCATCTCAGTTGTGGGTAATGAAAGTGGAAGAGAGCACTGTTCATTCACTCCCCCCACCTACATTTCCTGCCGAATGAGACTCGAACCCGCAATTAGGGTTACAAGTCCGACTCTCTAACCATTAGGCCACACATTTTATCCCTTAAAACTCATCTTTGATCTCCAAAATTACATATTTCAAAGTTTTTTCCTGTGAAAAAAATGAATTCATGCCTTTATCCCTTAAGTGTCACCGGCGGGCCCAAATCCATTCAATTTTTAAAACAGTAATATCCTATACTAAACCTAAACTAATCTTGACAAACTATATATCATTTGAAAGCTTACAATCTTTAATTCATCTACTCTAATGAATTACAGAGGAGCCATAATTCATCAATTTGCAACAAGAATATTTTCATACTCCTAAGGCGTGTTTAGACCTTTATTTTGAAATAGTGATGAACATGAAAAATCATGAAAGAAGGGTAGAAACCTCAGTTTGTTTTCATGTCAAGAGTTCAAAAGATAGCATCCATTCACTTATTTTAGAAAAAAAGGTCTGAATTTTTTTTAAATATAAAGAAAAAAAATATAGATTCACCATTTGTGCTGTGGCAGGAAGTTATAACGCACATACTTGTTCTTTTTGTGTTTCTTAGAGGTTGAATTCATATCAAAATCTGCCAAACTTCTCATATTACTTGTGAATAGGATGTCTACTTCATAAATTGTATGAAAATTGTGGAAATAATGGTTCATATCACTCAAAACACATTTGGAAATGGAGGCGCCCTTATATGGGCAGTAATGGAGTCTGGTTGTCATCTAGTGAAAAAGTTTGGTACTGCGCACAAACAAAATCTTACTGAAAGCTCATTTTTTGAGATATCAACCTAAAATTTGAAACACAACTTGTTCAGATTTTTTACTTAGATTTTTTTGCAGTTTTAGAGTCGCCCAGGTTTTGAAAATATATATTTTCTATAAAATATGAATAATTAAATTTTTTACATTGTACATTTTCATAAACTCAAACTTCTATAACTTTTTTCTTTTTTTCTTTCACTTCTACAAAAATCTGCCAAATGTCGTCTTTAAAACGAGACCAATCTTACGTATATATTCCAAAGCATTCTTGAATTACAACCATTTAAGTTTGAAATGTGCATTTTCATGTATATTCAAAAAAAGGGGGGTGACACTTAAAGGGTTAAAATAGCTTGAAAGTAACTCTAAACCCTTGCTTCAAGTAGTATATGCGGAATCATGAATATGCAAATGAGCTCCGCCTCCACTCATTCATACAGGCTCGTCTACAAGTCGTTGTATCAGAATGGTAATGCATTTTATGTATCGTTGTAGCACTAAAGCTTTGACTTAAATTAAAATGAAAGCTAATAAAAAACTATAATAGTATCTCACTGATACTAAAATAACACTGGAGAGAGCATGTCATTTCAGACATACAGCACCTCATCACAGGTGTTTGGATCTCCTCCATCTTCCAGAAACTTCTCAACTACTTCCATCTTTCCCTGAGCTGCTGCTTTCAAAAACTCCTCTGGTTCAATAAGTCCCTGACAAACACCAGAGACAAATTTCAATGATTAAACACTCAAAAAAAAAGCAAAAAGACTAATACTTAAATAATAGCTACTTATATGCAACTCAAATGCACATGCAAAGACAGATGGGTTTCCCTCACCATGGGAACATCCATTAGGCCTTTGGAAGTGGTGGCCTTGTTCTTGTTCTTCTTATTCTTCATACACAGCTCAATAATATTCTCTGCACCCCCCAGATCAACGATCATACGCCTCACTCACACGTTCCTCTGCCTGTATGAAAAATTCACTTCTCTTCATCACTGACTGATCCTGGTCTGCACAGCACAGAGTATTCTTAAAATTGGCTCATATGGTTTTTAATTGACAGGATTGTGAAAATCTTGTCAAACTGATACGAGTTGCCAAATTTTGATATTATTAGCACAGCTTTCTGTGAATGTATATGAGTGTGCACTGGTGGAGGTTTAACATGATTGTACTTTATTTTTTACAGCATTTACAGCCAATGCCTCTTTTTTACAGCATTTACAGCCAGTGCCTCTTTTTTAGAGCAACTGCAAGTAATAAAAAAAAGTTATAAATAGGTTTTACTCCTTCAAAAAAAATGACACAATATTGTAGTTATGGCATCCACCACCCGGGGCTGCTAAAGCCAACCAGCCAAAACCCTGACCCGCTGGTTCCATCTGGTTCTGGGAAATATCTCTCAAAAATACTAATGCACTTTGTTTCTTAGTTGACCCAATTCAGAAGCTGCATCCTTCGAAGGCTGTGAAGGTCGGACTGAGCGTTGTTAAATGGGACGGTCTAGCCTACAGAGGATTGTTCTTGTCGCCTAGAAACTGTGACAGCTGCCGTTAAAGAGTGGCTGTAACGTTTGTCCTAGACTTTTTTTCAAAGTTATATTAAACTGTCTGAAAACAAAACGGTTCACAAACTGTCTAAATAATATATTCACTATGTTTCATCTCTGTATATAAAAAACATCAACTTTATATAAATCGCATCTTACTAAGATGTGTCAACATTTGAACTGCTTTAAAGGTTTTTTTTTTTTTTTTTTTTTTTTTTTTACATTTGTATCATTAGATATTTGAGCAAGTTGAAACCCAATACTTACGTTTGAAAGTGTAATTAGGCCATTTCTCTGCAAAAAAAAATCCTGCCGCCACTGGCTCACAATAAATTCTGAGGTAGGCAAGGCAGCGAAGGATTCATTTGTTGTATCCTTTATTTCATGGGAAAGGACGCATTTAAGGACCCTTCAAATCGGGACAGCCTTCGTCACGCCACGGTGACACAATCGGCCTTCGAAGGATGCATATATATAAAAAGCCATATATGGTGGCTTTGAGTTTGAGGCAGGTGAGTTTGATCAAGGTCAAAATAGATAATTCTCATTTCTTAATATTGCAGTAAATCCTCCTCGTAACCTTTCATCAAAATAACTTCTCCCTCCCTCTTGCAGCTCTTCTCTGATGATGTGTTTACTGATGTGAGGGCGGGACAACCTGTCACTCAAAGGAGATCGACCAATAGCAAACCACAACCATCTAATCAATTCCCGATGGACAAAATCAAGTCCAGCCTTTCATTTTTTATTGTTCAAGAAGTCGTTCCACTCGTATATACCTCACAAAAGGGAAGAAAATATTTGTTTTTAATCGACTTTCATGTCGCTTCATTCCCAACTTTATTGGAGATATCAATTATGCTTCAAGTAGGCCTATCAAGTTTATCTGGTACAATTTTCATCTTTTCATTAACTGTCCAAATTTTGATCTCTGCTGAGATTTTGTTCCCCACTCACCTGAATGTTTGCAACTCCAAAAAACCCCCAACTTCTGTGCCCGAGCTTGACGCATCTAAACAATTTCAATAGAAGACAAACAAACTTTCTCAGACAGGTACTTCCCAGACTTAATACAAATAAAATACACAGAAAATGATCAAAATGAGAAATTAATTCATTTCATTAGACTGTACCTTCTCCCGTTTATCAAGGGCTGCTCTTCTATCAACCACAGGATGCTCTCGTCCATTATAAGGGGAAAAAAAGTATAACAAGAACTTCACCCAGAGTGTTTTCAAGTCGCAAACTTTCACAAATAATCGTGTAAAATTCCTGCCGTTAAGAGCAGACCTGCTGGACTGAGATCTGAACTGGTCTTATAGCTCACAGCAGGAATGTAAAGCCATGTCAGGCCCGGTGTGACAGCTGTGGACAGGAGCTGGATCACACACAAACACACAACATGAGCTCACCGTTTGTTCGGTGCCATCCACCTCGAGAGGCCTGCCCTCTGCCACACTCTGAGTCCAGTTTTACAAGAATCACGACCCAATAAACACCCTGTTTTGGAGATTATGTTATTTATAAGTGGTTCATTAGTGTCAAGCGATACCTCATGAATGCCTCCTAGTTTCAAAGAACGCCTGTTAACACACAACGTCCAATCACGGGACGGCATTCTGGAACATCCTGTTGGTTGTACATTCGCACGAATGCACACAAATGTCTAGTTATGATTAAGTGTTTGTGATATGCAGTTTGTGTTTGAAGGAAGAACAGATGTAAATGGTTGTAAAGGTGAGATCAAGTTGAAATTTTCAATAAAACCATCATCATTTGACAAATAAAACAACTGAACCAAACATTGAGCAACAGCAATCATGTGTACATACTTCTAATGGTTTGTTTGATTTCATAATGCAGTCATGCTGTTCAAGTCCTTCACCTGAGCAGTCGTTAAATGTCAGGAGTCACCCCTAACTTAAATATGATTGAAATATGTATTGGAAAAGAACTAAAACTTGACCATAACTGTTCAAATATCTGCTTAACTAATTAAAAACAACAATTCTGCTAAGTTTACTGAATTTAGTAATTCCCCAGTACTTTCCCCAGGCTTTTTTATATACTTTAAGCAGTAGCAGTGTTTTTTTTAGTTTTTTTTTTTTAGTATAAAGCAAATAAAGATTTACTGCTGCAAATAATTAATATTTAATCTAATAATCTAATCGGATGCCTGCACTTTTACGTCTTTTTTGTTATGACAATAATTTCAAGAAATGCTGCCATTTATAATGTTTTCTTTACTCATGTTTAAATGCCGTTTACTGCTGTCAGCTTAACTGAGATCCTGATTGGGGTTTTTTTTTGTCCCAGATATTGTTTTTTGGGGGGCAGTACGTTTTTAATTTTTCTTTTTGAAATAAATTAACACTTGGGGGATGCATTAAATTTATGAAAAGTGAAATTAAAGGCCTACTGAAGTGCCTTGAAACTTGCAGCATTATTCAATGTGTTGACGTAATTTCCACTGAAACAGGAAGACAGGGCGGGACACATCGAACAGCTCCTCCCCTTTTATAAAATAGCCAATAGGGTTTAGTTTATATTACAGACAGCTCGGCCAGAGCCGTTGAGCTCAGTCAAGCTGCAGTTTCCTCCTAATCTCTAACCATTTCTCCTCCATATCACTTTACAATATAGAATTCTGTGCAGAAACCAGACTTTATTCGCCCCAATGGAAAGCATATTTACATTGTCTGAATCCTTCCCTATCCCCTATATAGTGCACTATGTGCCATTCACCATGTAGAAAATGTGTAAATGTGACCAATTTTAGCTGCAGCTTCAGCGTCTATTTATAATGAAGGGGGCAAAATCATTGAGAGACAATCAGTTTTAAATGCGTATATCTTCTGAATGCAAATTTTGTCATTGTTTTGGAGCTTAGCTTATAGATAACAGTAAGGCTAACATGTTGATACTAAAACCCAAGTAAACTTCAATTTTGATTTTAATGGGGACTTTAAAAACACTTTTACATTGTTACAAAAGATTTCTATTTTAAATAAATGCTGTTCCTTTGAACTTTTTTTTTCCATCAAAGAATCCCCAAAAATGCATCACAGCTTCCACAAAAATATTAAGCAGCAACTGTTTTCAACATTGATGATAATAATAATAATAAATGTTTCATGAGCAGCGAATCAGCATATTAGAATGATTTCTGAAGGATCATGTGACACTGAAGACTGAAGTAATGACTGTTAAATATTCAGCTTTGCCATCACAGGTATAAATTACATTTTGAAACATTCAAATAGAAAACAGTTATTGTAATAATATTCACAATATTACGGTATTTATTTTTGATCAAATGAGGAGACTTCAAAAACATTTAAAACTAGTTCGCAAAAGTAGGTTTTGGACAAAATTGTCCATAACACATTTTTTTGCTCAAATCGAGAATCCGAGATATACATCTTGTCCGTCCTGAGCCAAGGAACACAGTGGTGTACACACACAGTGGTGTGTCTTGATTCTAGGTCAAACGGTCTAGGAGTTATGAGCAATTTAGTACTTTTGGTTGCTGTAGCGCCACCTATGGGCCAATCGGGGTCATACTCTGATAGGTTCTCCCCAAACTGAGGCCCTACCCCCTGGCCAGGTTTCAAGTCTCTAGGCCTTACGGTTGGGGCTGCACGATGCGTTTTAGGGTTTTTTTTTTTCAAATAGCAATTACAATAGGTTTTCAGCACTTCGTGCTTGAACACCTAATAATAGGCGACCTTTTTGACAGTTATAGCGCCACCTATGGTCCGATCTCCATGAAACTCTGCATGCTTCTTCACCATGTTATGACACATGTGCTCATCAATTTTTGTGACGTTCTGAGTTTTTATTTATGATTTATAGGCTTTTGAGTGTATTTTGACACGCCCCCTTTTCTAAACGACCCTGTTACAGTGAACCAAAGGGCAAAGTTCAACTTTTTTTTTGATAATTATTGATCTAGAGAGTCCATAGAATTGTCCTAGACTGGTCTGGTTCCGATCAGGCAAAAAACCAGGGACTAGTTCGCAAAAGTAGGTTTTGGACAAAATTATCCATAACAATTTTTTTTTTGCTCAAATCGAGAATCCAAAATATACATCTTGTCCGTCCTGAGCCAAGGAACACAGTGGTGTACAAATCTTGATTCTAGGTCAAACGGTCTAGGAGTTATGAGCAATTTAGTACTTTTGGTTGCTGTAGCGCCACCTATGGGCCAATCGGGGTCATACTCTGATAGGTTCTCCCCAAACTGAGGCCCTACCCCCTGGCCAGGTTTCAAGTCTCTAGGCCTTACGGTTTGGGCTGCACGATGCGTTTTAGTTTTTTTTTTTTTTTTTCAAATAGCAATTACAATAGGTTTTCAGCACTTCGTGCTTGAACACCTAATAATAGGGGACCTTTTTGACAGTTATAGCGCCACCTATGGTCCGATCTCCATGAAACTCTGCATGCTTCTTCACCATGTTATGACACATGTGCTCATCAATTTTTGTGACGTTCTGAGTTTTTATTTATGATTTATAGGCTTTTGAGTGTATTTTGACACGCCCCCTTTTCTAAACGACCCTGTTACAGTGAACCAAAGGGCAAAGTTCAACTTTTTTTTTGATAATTATTGATCTAGAGAGTCCATAGAATTGTCCTAGACTGGTCTGGTTCCGATCAGGCAAAAAACCAGGGACTAGTTCGCAAAAGTAGGTTTTGGACAAAATTGTCCATAACAAATTTTTTTTGCTCAAATCGAGAATCCGAGATATACATCTTGTCCGTCCTGAGCCAAGGAACACAGTGGTCTAGGAGTTATGAGCAATTTAGTACTTTTGGTTGCTGTAGCGCCACCTATGGGCCAATCGGGGTCATACTCTGATAGGTTCTCCCCAAACTGAGGCCCTACCCCCTGGCCAGGTTTCAAGTCTCTAGGCCTTACGGTTTGGGCTGCACGATGCGTTTTAGGTTTTTTTTTTTTTTTCAAATAGCAATTACAATAGGTTTTCAGCACTTCGTGCTTGAACACCTAAAAATATAACTGACCCTTGACTTGGTGTAGTAGAGTGTGTTTGTGTGTGTATCGATATGTTAATTTAGAGAGATTAATTATACAAAAATAGAAATAGCTAAAACAAACACATACATGCTTCACCAACACTGATTCCATTTCCAACTCTCTCAATGCAAACCTTTATCAAGTTCATTCAGATTTCTTTGACATAAATACCCTTGTAACAAACAACTAAAAAACTAAGATTGAGCAGAAAAGTCATGCTTTAACTCTGAGAAAGAAAAGCCAATAAAGTCATTGGCCCTCATTTATCAAAAGTGCGTACACCAAATTTCCAGCGTACACCTGGCGTACACCCAAAACCACGGTGACTTTGAGATTTATCAATATGGACGTTGGCGTACGGCACGCTCAAATCCTACGCCAGCTCAGGAGGTGGTGTACGCACGTTTTGAGTTAGTGCGGAAATGCGCAGAAAAACAATTCCTAGCACCACAAAACGCACTGACAAACTAAAAGATATGATATATTATGACCCACTGTAAAACAAAAAAACAACAACAACATAGTAATTATAAACTTCAGTGTTTATTTTTGTGCAACATGGACTACAATGTTTAATTTGTGTGACTTTACCAAAGCATTTGATTTGTAAGCAAATGTATTCCTTCAGTTGCGAGCCTGTGCGCTTTACCCTGACGTTTCAGGGTTTGGCCCGGCAGGTGCGCACTGGGTTCGGTATAAACGAAAGGCTTTCAATGACCAAAAAATAATTCAGACTGACAAAATAATAAAAATACATTCTTCGTCTTTTAAATAATAATAATAATACAAATAATAATAATGACATTCTTCTTCTAAATAACAATAACCGTCATTAATAATACAAATCATACTAAGAAGAATATTACAAATTGTCATGCAATTATTAATGTGAATGAATGGTACTCCACATCACATCATCATCATCATCACTATTGTACACCCCAATAATACATGTAACGTGATTCGAAATTGAATGCTAATTCAAAAGACGTGCTGTAAAATATTGCATTGTGATTGGTCATTTCGGCTCCACGTCAGAGAAGTTTCTCTTCTTTGCCGTCTTCCGTGTGTCCATGGCGTAAAATGAGGGCGTGGGGGAAGCGGAGACTTGAATATATAGGGGCGTGTTATTCTAATGACGAACGTTTTCAGCCGCGGGATTTATCAAGGGCAGGTATTGCGTACACCTGGATTTCAAAGGTACGCACAGCTTCATAAATCAGGCGGTGAGAGGAGTGTAAGCATAATCTTACGCCAAAATATACGCTTGTTTCTACGCAAGAATGATAAATGAGGGCCATTGTACTTATGTTTAGTTATTAAGATTATGTTTCTGCTTTCAGCAACAGCTGTACATGCTGTCTAAAGGACTTTTGAAATGCTAATGTTAGGTATGATATCAAACATTTGCAAAAATGGCAGTGTGTGGCTGTTTAAACAGTAGATATACAATGCGAAGCCTCTCAGACAGGTGAATGATTAACTGTGAGGAGGGATCAGACTGAGACAAAACACTCACGACACGGCAGCGGATGTAAGGGACAAAAGCGCAGCTCAAATTCAATACAACACAGACATGTTTCTATCTCTACACCTGGAAGAAAAAGACAGCACCTGAAATAAGAGGTAAGAAACAACATTTACAAAGGCATAAAGTATTCAAATGTGCTGTGAATGAAGGCTGTGGAACATTGACTCTAAAGAACATGCAAGTAAAGTTTTAATTAGTATTTCATAACTAACAGGCGTAGTTGGGAACCGACAGGAAAAAATGGTGACCCTGAAACACTTGAGTGTTAATGATAATGACGAAGACAACGTTCCTCTGTTACCGGAAGCCAGCAGCCTGGAGAGCCCAACCACCCAACAACACAGGGCAGAGTCCAGGGAATTGTTCCTCAGCCGGTGGGTTTGACCGAGATAAGCACTGTGACACCACGGAAACATGCTTCACTGGAGATTTAGAGACGCATTCCATTCAAACCAATGAAGCACACCTAGCGTGAGCTTTTAAAACACCATAAGTCTGCTGTTTTATGATTTCAGGAGGAACAACTTCATTTTAAGCTTTGTTCTGTTGTTGAGCTGTTACTCTGCACTTCTGGTTCCTGCTTATCTGCCAACGCCAGAGCCCACCTGGACTAATGACAGTTCTGCTGAAACTCTGGTACTGTAATTCACTGTTTCACCGTATGAAGCTAATGAGATGTCCGCCAATTTGTAGGATCTGTGACTTTACTTGCCCCTGGTTTCACAGATAAGGCTTAAGTCCCAGACTAAAACGCATGTTTGAGCGGTTTTAACTGAAAGCAACTTGCACTGACGCATCTTAGAATATGTCAGTGCCATTGTTTTGTCTCTAGATGCACACCAGTAATGTGTTTTTCTAAGGCACATTTATAAAAGCTACTTAAATGTCCAAATTTAACTAAGGCCTAAACTTGGCTTAATCTAAGCCCTGTCTGTGAAACCAGGCCTATTCAACTGTGAGTTTACTGCAGGCTTAAGATGATTCAAATAAATGGAGTTCACATATATTCAACCCCCCCCCCAAAAAAAATTCTCTCTACAATAAAATAAATAAAAATAAATAAACCCCTTGATATTAATTGTCAAGGTACCCCATGTACATTAATGTAAAATAATTATAATAATTTATATTAAAATGCTTATTTTAGGGTTAATATTTCAGTAAATTATGAATCAATCAATAAATACATAAATCACAAATTTTTGTCATAAATAAATCTACACTAAAAGTTCAAAAGGTTTTTTGAAAGAAGTCTTTAATGTTCATCAAGGGATTTATTTGATCAAAAATACATAGTAAATGTTGTGCAATATTAAAATACTTTTAAAATGTAATTAATTCTATTGATGGCATGCTGTATTTTCAGTCTTCATGTCACGTGATCCATCAAACCCTTCATTCTAAAATTCTGATTTTGTTTGTGAATTGTGCTGCTTAATATTTTCATGCAAACCATGACATAATTGTATTATTTGATGAATAGAAAGCTCAAAAGAACAGCATTTATTTGAAATAGATTTAACATAAAGTCTTTACTATCAGTTTTTAATCAATTAATCCCCCTATGTTTCGAAACATTCACACAGAAAACAGTTATTTTAAATTGTAATAATATATTCACAATATAACTCGTTTTAATAACTCGTTTTAATCAAACGAGAAAGCATAAGAGACTTAAAAAACACTTTAAAAATAATTACTGGTAGAAGGAACAACGAGTACAAACCGATATGCATCTTTGCTACTGCAATGAGTATTATTTTACACGCATGTAGTGGTCAGGTGTCTGAAGGCTTGTTTACACACACCTCAGGCTCTGCTGAATCAGTCAGCGGCTCTGCTGTCTCGGTCATGTCGCAGTGGCTGGAGTGTGGAGAGGGTGATGACGCTGCCTACTCCTGCTGGGCTGCTGAAGATCCCGGTGTTCCTGGAGAACAGCACGCAGGACTGGGCACTGCCTCCTCCTCTGGGTCTGCAGGGTAGTGAGGAGATGGTGGCACAGGCCCTGAAAGCTTTGCCTTATACTGGTGTACCTACTGGCACAGAGACCTGCAGGAGATGCGTGGTGGTCGGAAGCGGAGGTGTTTTACGTGGCAAAAATCTTGGACCTCATATAGACCAATACAATATTATCATCAGGTTAGTTCATTAAAGGAACACTCCGACTTTTTGGGACTTTAGCCTATTCACCTTATCCCCCAGAGTTAGATAAGTCCATACATACCTTTTTCATCTCCGTGCGTGCTATAAGTCTGTTTGACGCACCCAGTTTGAGGAGCAGAGAGCGCGTCTCAGGTGCTGCGGTTATCACTCCGCCCAAGTAGCAGTGCTTCGCCTTCAGAGAATACAGTATATTCCCAGTATTTATCAGAGGCGGACAGAGTACAGAGCTTTGTTACTTGAGTAAAAGTACAGATACCCCTTGTTAAATTTTACTCAAGTACAAGTAAAAGTACTACATTCAGATGTCTACTTAAGTAAAAGTACTTGTTTTTAAAAGTACTTGAGTATCAAGAGTACAAGAGTAGATTTTCTAAATATTGCATTACTACTGCCACAGTGCTTACATTTATGCACAGAAACGTCCTGCATGGAGTTATGAAAAATGTTAATGTTAATACCTTGGAGAATGTAAAAGGAATTGAAAGTAAAATCAAGTCATTTTCATCTTTTTACCATGTTGCTTTATTTAATTTAATTACATTTTTTGGGGGTCCCATCTTTAAATGCGGGGACAACACACACACACACACCACATGTAAGGGTGGCGCTGCCAATAAAGCACCTAAAAGCTGTCACAAAGAACCGGCAAAAGGAATGATTATGAATATGTAAAATATATATATATAAGGAGATATTTTTATTGTTTATTAATAAACTCTTGTTAATAAACAAGTGTTTTCTTTGTCAGTGTCGGCTAGATGAAGTTGACTATGCTGACTCGCGATCTTCAGTAGTGAACGCGCCAGAGAGAAATGCACATTTCATACGGATTACATAAGCAGAGAGCAGTCTGTTTTCTTTCGTTTTGAATTTTTCTGTTTAAAAGTAGACATATCTGTGAGAGGCAAGTAGGCTACCTTTATAAAATAAAATAAAATAAAACAAAATTAATATTTTATGTACTGTGGAGACTGAGCGCCAACCCTTCTTCATTCGCTGGGTAGTAGCCTACTTTGGTTTGCGCAGTGTAATTCACATAATCAGTAAAAATATATTTTGCCTCCTAAAGTTTTTTTTTAAGAAATCAGAAATCCCTCGTGGCTACGCCACTGCCACATTTGAACCTGACTGTGTTAAACACACCACATACTCAAGAACATCAAACCAAATGCTTGGCTTCCATTAATGTGTAATATAAAATCTGACCATGGAGTTGACTTTGGCGGAAAGCTGAAAGTGATTGCTGATAGGCTGTCCCAATCAGTGGCGCCTGCACAATCCAATCACGTTTGAGAGGGAAACAACAAATTGAGGGTTTCTGAGATTTTTCTTCTTTTTGCCCACTTTTTTTTTTTTTTACTCGGGTACTCACGGTTATGGATAGAAATGTATTGGAGTAAAGAGTACAATATTTGCCTCTCAAATGTACTTGAGTAAAGTCATGAGTACTCCCCAAAAATGATACTCGAGTAAAGTACAGATCCCTCAAAATTGTACTTAAGTACTGTACTCGAGTAAATGTACTCCGTTACTGTCCGGCTCTGGTATTTATACGGTTAAAATATGTCTGTGTCTCATGTGACTTTGTTTTATGTACACTCTGTGACTATACAAATCACAACATGTAAATAGGAAAATGTTTGCGTTATTTTGTCACTTATTTGGATTAGTATGCTAGCTGCAACCATTTACATCCAGTCTTTGTGCTAAGCTAGGCTAGCGGTGGGTGCGTCAAACAGACTTATAGCACGCACAGAGATGAAAAAGGTATGTATGGACTTATCTAACTATAAGTCCATAGGGATAAGGTGAATAGGCTAAAGTCCCAAAAAGTCGGAGTGTTCCTTTAATAAACACATATGGGTGAGGTGTTACGGTGTCAATGAGGCATATTAACTTGCCTGAACTAATTGTATCGATATTAATATTTTAATCTTCATACTTACAGAGTGAACAATGCTCCAGTATTTGGATTTGAGAGAGACGCTGGCTCTAGAACTACCATTCGGCTCATTTATCCAGAAGGGGCTCCTTCCCTGTCACATGAATACGAGAATACTGAAATGGTGGCTTTGGTTGCGTTCAAGAGCTTGGATATAGCATGGCTCATCTCTGTAATAACCAAGGAACCTTTGGTGAGTAATGTTAGAAGGTTTTCAGGAGGGACATTCTCATTTTAGAGAGCATTTTGTTGGACAAAGATTTGTGCCTTTGAGAGCAGATGGAGTCATCAATTTCTGTGAAACAGAGGGACTGTGAATTTTAAATGTTTTTGTCATCTCTTAGGTGTGCTATAGCCTAAAGATAACAGAAATGGCCTTAAAATAATTTAAAAAAAATAGAAATATGGCCTAATTGTTTACATGAACAGAGTGGTCCAAGGAATCAATGTCTGTCCCTGTCTTTTTGAAGAGTTGGTGGTCTAAATGGTGGTTCTGGAAGCATGTAATAGACACGATACCTCTTCAACCAGAAAATGTTCGCATCCTGAATCCTGAAATCATGTACAGGACAGGACAAGTGCTACAAACCTATTCAGAGCAACAGAAAAAGGTCAGAACTGAGATACTTTTTCAATTGTGCAAACTCAAAACTATTACTTCTCCAGGCTTTGAATTCAGAAGGTTACTAAATAGATTGTTACTCCTAAAACATGCATATATATATATATATATATGTATTCCTATATATATATATATATATATATATATATATATATATATATATATATATATATATATATATATATAGGAATACATATATATATATATATATATATGCATGTTTTCAGGAGGGACATTCCTGAATATATATATATATATTATACACGCACACTACTGTTTAAAAGTTTGGGGTCTGTAAGATATCTTTTTTAATTTTTGAAAGAAATGATGCTCACCTGAATTTATTTGATCAAACATACATTTAAAACAGTAATATTGTGAACATGTATTTCAATTCAAAATAATTGTTTTCTATTTTAATACATTTTAAAATGTAATTTATTCCTGTGATGGCAAAGCTAAATTTTCAGCATCATTACTCCAGTCTTCAGTGTCACATGATCCTACAGAAATTATTCTTAACATTCTGATTTGGTGCTCAGGGCTTTCAGTATTCTTTATCGAATAGTATGTTCAAAAGAACAACATTATTTGACATAAATATTTTGTTACATTATAAATTCTTTACTAATTAAATTAAATGTTTCCTTGACACATGAGACTCCTACTAAATGTTCTGCCGCTAGCATTGTTAACTGAAGTCCGTTTTATATTTTGTTTGTTAGATGGTGCCGACCCTGGGTATAACGGCAATAGTTCTGGCCCTGCAGGTGTGTGATGAGGTGAGTTTAGCTGGATTTGGATACGACCTTCAGAACCCTGGAGCTCTGCTGCATTACTATGGGTCTCTCCGCATGGACGCCATGAGGGCACAGGTGGTTCACGATGTCAGCGCTGAGACCATCTTACTGAAGGAGCTGGTTAAAGCCGGAGCGGTGCGAGACCTCACGGGGGCATTGTGATGACGGCAGAGACTCTGGAACAGCTACATGTAGAAGTTAAAAGAGATGACAAAACACAGAAACAGACCTGTTGGAAGACAATAGGATCGATCTTATAAATTTCAGGGCAAAATGTACTAAATTGTGTAATTTTGGGGTGAAATACGACAGACATTACCCAATAACATAATATACAAACAAATGCATTTAAAATAAGTGAAAATGACTACTAAAATTAAAACCAAAGCTACTATAAAACACATTTAAATATAGCTTTATTAAAGATGACAGAAGATTTATTCAGATAAATTATTATCTCATATTTATTTATCTTGGAAAACTGATTACATAGTGTAAAAACATTTTTTTTAACAGAACATTACATATATCCAAACAATATTGTATCAAAATATAAATGTGTATGAGTGTGTTATTCGGTCCTGTAAAATATCACATTATACTTTTAAAACATAAAGCAGTGGGTTAAAAACAAACACACTTTCCTTATCAATCTACTTCGTCTTTAACGTAATCTCTGACCTAAAATACAACACGTTCATGATCATTAATTACAGTTCAAAAAGTGCTGACATAATGGAAGGAGAGAAATCATCTGCTATTGCAATACAATGGATATTTTTGATGGCAGGATAAATACATTTTTATTCTCTTTTTTAAGAATTAGATTTGTGTATATCAGCTTTAACTTTACAACCATTAAAACTTTTTTTGTGTAATTTACAAAATTTGTACAAAATTTATTAAATGACTAATTTGTTGATTCATTAAAGGTAGGGTTGGCAATTTCAGAGAGGTTAGCAATAGCAAGCTGGCTTTGAACGCATAAGATCCCACCCTCCCTTCAAAGCATCTCCAAAGCAAATTAATTATTGATTATCTTTACAACGGAACTGAATTAACACTGAACTAACTTCAGCTAAACAATGACACTATTTTCTTTAAGAGCTGCTGTACAGCTGAAATGAACTGTTTCACTGAATCATTTTCCTGTTATCACTGTAAAGCTGCTTTGAAACAATATGTATTGTATAAAGCGCTATATAAATAAAGGTGACTTGACTTTAAAAGAAAAAAGAGTTTCCTATAATATTTGGTCCTGGTTTCACAAAACTAATTGCCAAATAACATTTTAACACATTTTTGTATTACGAGCACCTTAAGAATGTCTGTTTCTCACTGTTCACTTGCACCCTACATTCAGTTCATTAGAAGCACAAGAGATGCAATGTTTAGTGTCCCGGCACAATATTTTGTGAAGTTACCTGAACTGAAATAAGAAGTATTTGCGCAGAAAGTGCAGAAAACTCTCCATATAGATTATAGCTCATGCAGCAACAGAAGAAAGAGCACGGCTGCATGGAGCATGATGTTCCTCTGACTCTGCCGACCGTGTTGGTCACAGGAGCGGGATACGGGTGGGCTCCCACAGCTTGCGGGCCAGCTGACTGCAGTGCTGAAGAATATATTCATTGGGGATTACACCTAGATGCACAGTCAGCAGTTCATAACACTTCACCACTTCATTCTGATGTCTTTTGCTGTAATACCGCAGCAGTTTCCTATGACACAGTCAGAACAGAATAGACACGTGTTAAAGAAAGTTCAGCTTCCTATCACCTGGCAATGACCTGGAAACAATCAAAAACACAGTAGCATCTGCCTATTAACAACCACTGAGAACACAACAGCAACCTCTAGCAAAGTCCATTTCTATTCAAACTTAATTACCTGGAATTACTGATGACAGTTCAGAATCAGTTCTTTCTTTTAGGAGACAATAACTCCATTTATCGTGCACTTTGATCTTTCTAACTTTCCAGACTTTTTACATTCACAAACAGCTATACTACACACTGTATGAAAGGTAATATCTGAAAGAGCAGAATAGGGGCACTTTAAACTCTTAGACAAGGTGTTGTCAAATCATTCTGAATTATTAATATGCTTCAAACTGCAAGTGATGTCCTTGTTTCTATGTCTTACTTATAATAATCACAGGTGAGCATTCCTATTGGAGCGGTGTCATCTGGGAAACTGGGTATATCTATCACTTCCAGTTTGTAGCCCTGTCAAAACAAAATTTAAACCTGATCACCACATTAAACTTTCATTATATGTATTATAGTAAATGTAAAGAAGATGCAAGTTAATATTTACCGTTTCATTTTCAAACCACAAAAAGTAACAGTAGAAATAATCTCCATCTCGGAGTGTGACGGTGGCGTAACCCTTGTGTAGGTATCGCCGTGTTGTTGCCACAAGACTCCAAACCTACACAGATTCATGATGAGATTAGTATATCATCAGTAACTAATGAAAAATATACAGTATTGTTATTTAATATACAGTAAAGTTCAGGATTGTAAGATTTGATTAAAAATACAGCAAAAAAACAGAAAAACTATGAAATACTTTTACAAATAACTTTTCTATTTTAAAATATAATTTATTCCGGTGGATGGCAAAGCTGAATTTTCAGAATCATTACTCCAGTATTTAGTCACATGATCCTTCAGAAATCATTCTAATATGCTGATTTGCTGCTCAAGAAATACTTCCTATTATTATTAACATTGAAAACAGTTTGGCAGCTTAAAAATGTAGCACGGTTTCCACAAAAAAAATATTTTATGGATTATTTAATGAATAGAAAGTTCAAAAGAACAGCATTTCTTTTAAATAGAAATATTTTGTAACATTATAAATGACTTTACTGTCACTGATCAATTTAATGTGTAAAATAAACGTATAAATAAAATTGAATGGTAGTGTATATTAAAAAAATTCCTTAAAAGGGTAAGTAAACAGATTTATATCTAGTCTATATATTTATATTTAGGGGGGAGAATATATATATATATATATATATATATAATATTTGTTTTTATTCTATATATATTATTTAATTTTGATTTTATGAAATATTTTTCAGCTTTTGACAACATTCTGTATCTCTACTGAAGAATATTTAATCAATTTCATTTATATGTACTGATATAACAATACATAGAAACTAGACACACAAAAGCACCTTGTTCTTTATGAAGTCAGCTAGAGGTCCCTTTCCGAGCTCAGAGACGGTGCGATCCGTCACATTTAGCGAAGGCGCTATCATTTGACCACTTGAACGATCCACGTAGATAAAGTGGACGAGACCAGGAAACTCTTCCAGGTATGTGAGAGCATGGTTAAAGTCTATCACAATATCACAACAGAAGAAGATTGAATGCTAGATAAATGCCTTCCTGGCAACTACTGATCACGTCAAACCAAAAGCCTCAATGTTTAAAAAAAGGATATGACACCATTGTGATATTTCTTTTGCTTTTCACCAGCAGAAAATCCTTCCAGTCCATCAACTTCTCTCTGCAACAAATGTGAAAGACAGTTAAAAGGGACTCAAAATGAGTACTTTAGAAGTATTTGTTCATACATACTGGACCATGTTCAGAGCGCGTTCTTGCAGATGAGGAGCCAATCGCTGACTGCTGCCCATGCATTCAGCTGCAAAAAACTGCCTGTACACACTACACAACTGAGTCTTCATGTTTCGACAAGAGGGCAGCAAACTGCAACAACACATAAAACGTCAGATGGGTGAATTAAGCCACATCCACTACAGAAAAGACAGTTTTTCAGTTTTTTAATAACAAAAACAGCACTCACTCCCTTGTGAATCCAGATCCAGATCTGGTGAAGGCCTTGCTCTTAAAATCTGTCCACACATTTTGAAGATGGGAAGTCTGAACGCATTAAAAAAAAAAAGCTATTATAGCGACAACACACCACTATTTCTGGTCAATAAATTTACATTTCCAAGACCTTTCTAGTTGTTCTTGATTACTGGATAAAAACCTTCAAAATATGTATTTATTGTATGTATACAATTTCTTTTTCTTTTTTATATGTGAGGTGGTAATTCTCGGAATTGATCGATTTAAATGAATTTAAATATACATTTTAGTGTGCAAATGTTTCCAGTAAAAAAAAAAAAAAAAAGACATTAGATTTGAATATGACACAACAATGAATAAATTGCTCAAAGAACAGTATTCTAATCAATGTTGTATTTTAGTGCAGAGCATACATTTCCGTTCATTAATTTGGGGTCGGAAAGTTTATTTTAAGAAGAATGCATTAAGTTGATCAAACGTGACAGCAAATACTTTTACTTTGTTACAAATAAAAATTATATTTCAAAGAAATTCTGTGCTTTTGAACTTTCTACTCATAGAATCAACAAGTATCACAGTTTCCACAAAAATATTAAGCAGCACAACTGTTTTCAACATTGATAATAATAAGAAATGTTTCTTGAGCAGCAAATCAGCATATTAGAATGATTGAAGGATCATGTGACGCTGAAGACTGGAGTAATGATGCTGAAAATTCAGCTTTGCCGTCACAGAAATAAATTACATTTTAAAATATATTCAAATAAATTTGTAATAATATTTCACAATAATACTCTTTTGACTATTTTTGATCGAATAAATACAGCCTTGGTGAGTGTAAGAAACTTCTTTTAAAAACATCATATCAATCCCAAACTTTTGAATGGTAGTGTAACAAAAACCCCCACCATATTCACCTTTTATTTTTATTATAATGATTATTTATAATAATAAAGCAATTTAAAGTGTAGTTAAAGAACATGTTTTAGTTTTAATGAATGGTGTTTTAATAAATAAAAAAACATTTTAGCAAAAGATTGTTACTAAATGAACTGAATGAAAAAGCACTAAATGAACCATTAATGCAATTATTCAGAATTTAAATCTGATGTCCCTCATGAGTCCTAATGAAAGCACATTGTAAAGTGGATCTGACAGTGTGCAAAGGATTAAGAGTGTGTGTGATCGGTTCGGTTGTCCACACTGACCTGAATGTCCATGCTGGCCCAGACTTTGACTAACTTCTCCAGTCTGCCCCGCTGCTCCTGGACAGAGGGCTGACCCCGTGTGGCCGCGGACCCTTCATGCCCCTCACACAACCTCTTCTCCAGCTTCACAAAGGCTTCCAGAAAGTAGTAAATAGATATTGCCATATGACTGTTGGGGATCTATTGAGAAGCAAGAAAAATTAGCTGGGAACTTTACAGGTTTGTTTAAACCCTACATGATCATGTTATTCAATGGAAGCAAAATCATTGTCTATACAAATGTGCTTATTTGAAAAGACTGAGTAGAATAAATATGTCTCAATGTATAAATATAACTAATTGAGGAAGATGCAATGTAACTTTTCTTTGCTTTAGAGGTCTGATAATATACAGAATGCATGATATTCAGAAAGACTTCACCTTGGTGAGCAACACTAGAGTGATTCCAGGCCAGAGAGACAGGCAATACATGGAGTGAGGCATCATGGGACACTCTTTGGCTTCCAGGAATACTCTGAATGGGGCTGAGGGGTCAGGGGTTGGAACTTCAAGAGTTTTCAGACTGTCCTCAGCCATCTAAAAATCATAAGAATATGCGAAAAAAAACCTCTCTATAAATACACATTTTACATCATACACTACCGTTCAAAAGTTTGGGGGTCAGTAAGATTTATGTTATTAAAAGAAGATAATTATGTTCACCAAAAATACAGTAAAAACAGTAACTGTGTGCAAATATTACAAATTAAAACAACTGTTTTCTATTTGAATTTTAAAATGTAATTTATTCCTGTGATGCAAAGCTGAATTTTCAGCATCATTACTCCAGTCTTCAGTGTCACATGATCCTTCAGAAATCATTTGAATATGCTGATGTGTTGCTCAATACACATTTCTTATTATTATCAAAGTTGAAAACAATTGTGCTGCTTAATATTTTACATTTTTTTCAATTCTCACTTTTATCAATTCTTTGATAAATAGAAAGTTCAAAAGAAAGTTAAGGGTAAAAATATTATATAATATTGTATACGGCTGGGGAACACGCACACACACACACACACACACCTCACATCGCAGACACACACATTTATATTATAAATATTATATTTAATTTATATTTTATAAAATGTTTTTCATCCTTTCGACAACATTCTCTCTCTTAAACTTACTTTAGATATACTTCAAATATTCTGATTTGGTGCTCAAGAAACATTTTATTAGTAGTAATAGTAGTAGAAGTAGTAGTTTAAAAGGGTTGTGCTGCTTAATGAAATGTGTAAAGTGTAAAGAACAGCATTCATTTAAAATAGAAATCTTTTCTAACATTATAAATGTCTTTATTCTTATTTTTGATAGTCATTTCAATGCAATAAATGAATAAGTGCATTTTAATGAATAAGTATCAAATTCATGCAAAAAATTATTTAAAGTCCCCCTGTAGTCAATACTTTATCCCTTAAAACTCATCTTTGATCACCAAAATGACATATTTAAACATTTTTCCTGTGAATTTTTTTACTTTTTTTTATTCATGCCTTAAAATAGCTTGAATGTAACTCTGCACCCTTGCTTCATTTACTATACGCAGATCCATGAATATACAAATGAGATCATATTACATTAGATCATATTAGTTTTAGGGCAGCAGAGATGGACAGGACGAAATAGCTCACCTGAACATCAGCATCCACAAACTGGAAGATAGGAGGACTGTCACCTCTTGGGCGGACTATGCATTGAAAACACAAATATGCAGCTTGTATTTATACAACACTTACCGCTTTTGGTGCATTTCAAAATTTTAGCGAACATGTCTGAATGGCATTGCATTACACGCAAAGTCTATGGAAGTCTACTCATTTCTATCACCTGATTCCCGTTCAGGAGGAGAGGGCTCTGGTGTGTAGAATACATCAGGAACTGAACTGCTCTCTAACTCCTAAATATACAGAAGATACTGTCAGGGCACAATGCAAAATAACAATTTGAGATCTCAAAAACAAGACATATCAAACCTCAGGAGTGTCATCTTGGTCGATTTTGCTGGGGTAGAGATCCTGCACAAGGATGATCAGAGCCAGGAGATCAGAGGGGTTTAGACTGCTGGCATTTCGACTGCACAAAAAGTTCAAAATCTGAGATTATTTTAAAGTTCTCTATAGCTTCCTTCTGATTTATTTTGTGGTCAAAACATCATCTTCTCCACCAGCGTTTGCTGTACCTGGAGTAGAAGGCCAGCAGTTTGGTGTGCACCAGTATGAAAGCGTGCAGCACCTCCTCGCCTGCTCTGTCCACGTTACTGTTGATCTGCTGCACCAGCCGACGCTCCAGAAACTCGATGCACTGCTCACAAAGGGTCGGGTGGATCAACCTTTCCACAGCCTGAACAGAGGCAGAGAACTGTCACGTGTGAACTAAAACTAAACCTAGCATACATACAACTAATGAAAACAGCACTTGCACACACCTCCACTAAAAAGCTTTGGTCGTGCTCTCGCAACCGGCTGTACGTTTCCAGGAGGCTTTGTAGCTTCTTCCATAACCGGTTCCTTTGCTCAGTCTCTTGAGGGCGCAATCTGACAAATAAATTTGAATATATGAAAGTGTCCGTTAAAAATGCTTTTGTTCAAGATCAAAAACGTATAATATGAAGTGAAATGCAATGAGACTAATTAATCTACAATATGAAATATGTCGATGTGATGTTGAACAAAGTGCAGTTCTCACTCTTTCCTCAAGAGGGCCCCGCTGAGCGTCACCATCCCAAACATTATTTCTGTGAGTTTCTTCATCACATAGATCTTTCTCTTCAAATCCTCTTCGGTCTCATCTCCATCTCCATTCACAGCGATGTATAGACATTCCTCAAACTGCATGATAGAAAGCACAAGTGTCATGTTGGTGGCATATGTGGCATGCATGAGTACTGGAAAAATACATAGAATTTCTTGAAAGAGGGTTTATATGTTAAATCCATACTGTTACGGAAGAAAGGTGATTTAAGTGACTTTGAACGTGGCATGGTTTTTGGTGCCAGACGGGCTGGTTTGAGTATTTCAGAAACTTCCTGAGCTACTGGGATTTTCACACACAACCATCTCTATGGTTTACAGGGAATGATCAGCAAAAGAGAACATATCCAGTGAGAGGTAGTTTTGTGGGCGAAAATGCCTTGTTGATGCCTAGGAGAATGGCCAGAGTGGTTCGAGCTGATAGAAAGGCAACAGTAACTCAAAGAGTGTCTGCTTTAATGTCGCTACTTTTTACTGTTAAAAAGCGTTAACTTTGACAGACCTAAATTCAACACGAGAGATTTTCTTCACACACAGTACGAGTTGCAGTCTGATTTGTTTTTCTGACCCCTTTTGATTGACAGGATATAATCCGCCCTGATCATCGGCTGTTTTTAAACAATAATGGCTTTTCATTTTTGGCCAATACATAGGTGCATCCCTCAAAACATCTATATTAAAATATATAAAACATATTTCAAAAATGTATTCATTAGTGTTAGATCAGATGATACATTCATTCTGCTGTGGTTTACCTGATGCAGAACATAGATATGATTGTTTTCGGTGTTGAAGGAGGTGTAATTGTCCCCGAGTCGGTCCACCATGGTGCTACAGGAGATGATGATGGGTGCGAAGAGAGTGTTGATGCTGTCTTCAAAAGCAGGCAGCTAAGAACACATAAAAATAATAATATTAATAATGTCTCATGCATGTATATTCAATTTTATTTTAACATAAAATGTCAAACAGCATTAATTCTCACTCGTTCTCCTTCCTCCTGGGAAACCACATACTGAGCCTGAATCCGCTGCTCGAACTCGTTGTCAGTCCAGTAGAATAAAACCTCTGCGCTCTCATTAGCCACCAGTAGACACTTCATTTTACCTGAACACAAATGCAGTTATTAGAAAAATAGTTCATATTATTCACACTGTGCATAACTCTCTAAAATGGCTTCGTATAAATCTCAGTCTTTCATAAACCTCTTAATGCAACTAGTCAAGAAAATCATAATTTAGAGTCCTAATCATTTGTAATTTCAACAAAACAGGAAAAAAATATTTTAGAAAACAGTTCCTATAGGGCCAGTATGACTTCTAATGGGATAAACGTTTCTGTAAGACACCAAAAATAACTCAAAGACAATCTTTAAGAAATTTAAACCAATAATAAAAATCATATTGCTCAGCATGCAGCTTCCTTAAACTGTTCCGTAAGTTACTAGTAATTGTTCAAATACAATTCAATAGAATACAATAGAAAAGAATGCAAACAAGTTAACGACTACACAACACCCAATAGGATGATACTCTTGTGCAGGAGAAGCCCAAACCTCTCAGTTCCTCCAGGTGCCTAATGCACAAAAAAAAACATATTCAAGTGAAAACTTTTTGCACTAAACTTCTAACCAGTTTACGTATCAACAAAGTAAACTTACTATTTTAGGTGTTCGCATTTAGAACAGAAGAATATCATTGCGCCCGAAATCCTGAGCCAGTTCAATAATCCCAGCACAACAAACAGTTTGACAGATTAAACTAGTAAACTGCAGCAGCGCTTCCGTGATGTCTGTGCGCGCGCTCGAGTCACGTGATTTGATGATCACCGGCGAGCGCGCGTCACGCCTGGAATTCAGATCATGTGCGGCGGATCTGCAGGCAGCGCGTGATTCCTTTATTGCTCATTCATTTAATGAACTCATTCATACTCGCCTTTCTTTCTTTCTTTCTTTCTTTCTTTCTTTCTTTCTTTCTTTCTTTCTTTCTTTCTTTCTTTCTTTCTTTCTTTCTTTCTTTCTTTCTTTCTTTCTTTCTTTCTTTCTTTCTTTCTTTCTTTCTTTCTTTCTTTATTAGTTACAATACCATTAGTTAAAATAAAATAATCTGAAATTAATTAAAGTGGTTAAAAACACGACTGACTCATGACTGAATAATGCTGCAATCAATAAAAGGGAAAAACAACTTTTTACATTACATTTAACAATTTATATATATATATATATATATATATATATATATATATATATATATATATATATATATATATATATATATATATATATATATATATATATATATATATATATTTATATATATTTATATTTATATATAAATTGATATAATTTTCTTTCTTTCTTTCTTTCTTTCTTTCTTTCTTTCTTTCTTTCTTTCTTTCTTTCTTTCTGTCTTTCCGCATGAAATTCTAAATAAATGTTTTGGAGATTTGACCTTTCCTCTGTTCAGTCAATGACACACACATGTGAGAATTTACCATTGTACCAACTTTAACCCTCTATGTAATTGGCTTATATATTGTGTAAACATCATGAAATCCACCATCTTGGCTCAAGGGGGATGGGTTCTGAGTCTTTCAAATAGGGTCAACAGTATAAACATTTTCACGCTGGGTTTGGTTACAGTGTGCATGGCAAAGCAAGGGAAGTCACGCAAAGGTAGTTTGACTCTTCACAGAACTCCAGTCCACAGAGAGAAACGTCACACTTCATTATGTCTGTATATGAATACATGCTGTTGATTGTCAGCTTTGATCAAATGACAAAGACCTACCTGCTTGTTTCACAATCACAACGATCATGCATAGGCTATTTAATTAAATCAAGGTTGCAGGTCAGTCAGGACATTTTGCATTGGAAAACAACAAAACTCCAAAGTTTGGAAGTACATATGGATTATTTTTTATTATTTTATTTTTAAATGCAAAATTCTCCTTTTCATTGCTCAAATTCTCTGAAAATAATAATCTTATGCAGGTTTGAATCTCAAATAAATTAATGTTGTTTTGATATTTTATTTGGTTTGATATTTAAGACAAAAATGTTAAGAACGTTATTTTATTTTACTTTTGCAGTGTAAGTTAGTGACTACTTTGATGGTTCTTAGTCTAAATTTCAGTAAAAAGCTGTACTCGTAATAACTGTTGGGGAAAGTTTCTTCTAAAAGTAATGTGTTACAATACAATGTTACTCAAAAGTACTTTCTATGAAAGTAATGCGTTACGATACTTTTGCGTTACTTTTCCTCACCTGGGCTGGGCTTGCTTGTTTTTTGTTTGGTTTTTAATAATAATAATAAATACAAAAATTGTTAAATATATTTTTGGCAAAAGTAAAGGCTATTTCACACCAAAAGTGAAATCAATAAACCTCAGGCTGAAGGAAATGCGCCAGTAGAGGGCAAACATCTCACTGTGGGTCGCGCATATCCGCCATGTTTTGTAGGGGTTTTTTAAAACACTTTTTACTCGTCTTTGTAGTTCCTCGGGTTGTGGGAAAATCCACCGAAAAATAGTAGACCATCCGAGGACTTGGCATAGGCTAGCCTACTCTTTTCAACATACTGTGCTTTGGGACACTTTAATCTCACATAGGCCTACTGTTTAGGATGGATAGCCTAGGCTAGGCTATGGACATTTAGAGCAGGGATGTTTATCTAGTCATTCGATTTTGGTTATTAGCATGGCTGAATTAGATCATTGAAGGTCAGCAGCAAAGACATTGGTTAATAAAAGTGAGATTAAGTAGCCTGCCTGCATAAAATATATTTGTGTAATTTAAAATTTAATTATTGCAGGTTTGCGTTTTTGCATTTCTCTGTTTTTATTCATTTTGAGGGATACTGAATATGTTTTTGTGCAAGTGAGATGATTAAATGCCTGCTCACATTTAGTCTAGAATTATTAACCATCATGTTTACACAGCGCACACAACGCCTCTGCACTTCCGGTTTGTCTCAACATCGGGACCATAGATCGGGACAGAAGAGGTGTCAATCAATGGAAAAACAAAGTAACTTGTGTTACTTATTTGATGTAGGCTTAGGCTATGATGCCTTCGTGTGTAATTTGAATAATTATAAATAGGCTTTTATAATTTCCTAGTTAAAAAATTGGACATGAACGCCCTCTCAAGTCAAAATGTGAATGCGATGAGCTTGTTATTACGACTCCAGAAGAGGGAAGTTGGAAATTTCCAATTCAATTTCATATAGTATCACACAACTGAATGTAGGCCTGTAGCCTACTAGTTAGTTAACAAACTTTTAGCTAACAATAGAACACATTCGCATCTTAAATGTTAAGCAGCCCCATCAGCAAAGCAGTTGCCGCACATGCTCCACTCTTCTCCACAATGGTAACCCAGTGTAATTTAAATTACAACATAATTGAACATTAAACACTACTACACACTATCAAGTCTCCCCCTTTTCTCACCTTGCTCAAACACACATAAAATAACACTTAATTTGAAAAACAGATTAATTGAACTTCAAGTGGATTGAACACAATTAAGTTAGGACAAAATGTATATTGTGTTGCTTTAACTCATTTTAACTAAGCAATTTGAACAAGCAGCAAAAAAAGTGCATAAAGGCCTGCTGGGTCATGTCAGACTTTGTGACTCTTGACCAAGTGTGAACGAGCCTGGATTATGTTTATGAGTGAACCACGTTAAGTCTAAGATGAACCACATGTGAACTGCAGACATGTTTCCTTTTAGAAAATAATGTTATTTTTATGCACTCAAGTACAGTTAATATAGGCAGTATGTCAAGGCAACATATTTTGGTTTGCTCCAAATACATAATGCATTTACTATAGAATTTAAAAAACATGTAATTTATAATTTTGTAGCAGTTTAGATGAGAAGAGATCAAAATCCCAAAAGTCTCATTCAGGTGCAAATGGTTCTCATCACTTAGTACTGCACACGATTGCTCTGACACCACAGTTCGCTCTCATTTCTCAACAAAGTCTTGTCCCAGCTGCTTGGAAAGGGAACATCTGCTGGTGTGCAAGCTGCGAACGGGCTCCTTCCCTTTGTGAACCCTCCAGCGCTGGGCTGAGGACCCTGCCGGGCCTTTGAAGACTTGCGAGTTGATCTTCTCCCCGTGACCTGATGGAACATAAAGCGCTCGGTCTTGGGTTACCCATTGCAGCGTACTGTCACAATTTATTTCTGTACTTCTTTGTGTTCAGGCCCATTTATAAATCACTGAGTTCATAGCTTGCCTGCTTTTATCCTCCTATCTTGCACTCCTGAACATGTGCTGGAATTCAATTCAGCCTCTATCTGTGTCATAGGACACAGTCTCTCTTCAAGGGTTATACAGTTTATACACACACACACGCACACATACACACTGAATTTACATTAATTATTGTAAATAAGAGGTCAAAACCTACTTTTACTACTATTTTATTTATATATTTTGACAAAAATAATATTCAGACAAACATTTCCATAATAAAATAATGCTCTTTAACAGAAAAAATATTAACAACTCTAAATTTGCAATAAACACATTCAAGAAAGAAAAAAAAAGCCTCTAAAAGTGTCATTTTACAAATCAAAGACCATACAAATCTCTAAATCACAAAATAATCTTCCGAAATCTAATAAAATATGAGATTTTTTTTACCCTGGAAAAATTCTGACTATACACGCTGTCATAACCAATGAAAAAGCCAAAAATTTCCACAGAATTCATATAACCATGAAAGCTGAAGTGCTATTTTGGCTTTGTGATTAAATGACCAAAGAACATCCAATGCAAAACATTGTGATACACAAGTGTGCATACTGTGAGCAACTCAATACATTGAAAATAAAAGGCTATTTTTATTGCCAAACATTAACATCAGTCTCTGCTGTATGTTTTACAAAAAAGTACGTCATTATTGTACAATATTATCTGACAAAATGTTGTGACTTAAATAAAAGTCATGCTTTTCTCAACACAATATGTACACACACACACACACACACACACACACACTTATATAAATAATATTTATAGAGTGAGGAAGCACACTGTTTAAATCAAAAACCAATTGTATATACATTTACTAATATAACAAAAGGTTTGAACCTGTACAGAAACATTTGTCACTCATCATGCTTATTACTATTATTTAGTCAGCTAGCAGCACAAAGGAATCGCTGTACATGGGATTTATAGTGGCTCTAAAAGTTTTTTTGACACTTAAGCAACACTTAATCTTACAACATATCAAGCCAAGTGCCATTTTAAAAAAAATGTTAATACATTTTTAAGCGTGACTTAACTTTCCAACACTTTTACGGCCCCTGTATCAACACAGAATAAGGTAGTGTTTAATATAGCAAATTAAAACTGGAGAATTGTAAGCTCAGGTTCACACTGTTATAGTATACATGAATGCATGACACTAAAGGACAACAATTGAGCTAATTTCCTGAGCGCCTCAGCAAACTTCAAAAACTCCCTACTCTTTCCTTTCAGGCTTCAAAAGAGTCTGAGCTACAATGGGAACACAATGTCTTGTAAACATTATAAATAAAGAGCAGTATTTCTCAGAGAACCAATGAATATTGAAATGAATAAAGACTGTTTTGTGTATTATGTGATTCTTTTCAAATTTAGCAATGAACTATAAGGATGTTTTAATAAATATCTGTATCTTCCCATCGTACCTTAACCGTTGTACAGGTTGCATTTATAAAGCAGCAGCAGCAGCAAAAAAAAAAAAAAAAAAAAAAGCCTAAGAGATATTAGTCAGGGCATGGGTCAATGTTTTAT